AGAATGAACTTACACAGACGAGAGTGATCACCGGATGGAGGGTTTGCATTGGCTACCAGAAGCTTAATACATGCACAAGGAAAGATCATTTTCCTATGCCATTTCTTGATCAAGTTTTGGAAAGAGTAGCTGAGCACCTCCTCTATTGCTTTCTAGATGGGTACTCCGGCTACAATCAAATAGAGATCGCATTGGAGGATCAAGAGAAGACCACCTTCACCTGCCCCTATGGCACATTTGCCTACCGCCGCATGTCGTTCGGATTATGCAACGCTCCGGAGACTTTTCAACGGTGCATGATGGGGATTTTCAGTAATATGGTAGAAAAGATAGTGGAGGTCTTCATGGATGACTTTTCAATGTTTGGGTATTCATTCGACGGATGTTTGGAAAACTAGAAGAAAGTTCTAACGAGATGTGAGAAGAAGAATCTAGTGTTGAATTGGAAAAGGTGTCATTTTATGGTGACAGAAGGAATTGTGCTTGGTCACATAGTTTCGGCAAGGGGCATTGAAGTTGACAAATCCAAGGTGGAGGTCATCTCCAACCTCCCTACGCCAAGAACCATCAAAGGCATCCGATCATTTTTGGGTCATGTAGGTTTTTATCGTCGATTCATCAAAAATTTCAGTGCATTGGCTCGTCCCTTGACCAACCTCCTGTCTAAGGAGGCACCTTTTGAGTGGTCGAATGACTGTGAGCCATCATTTAAAAAAATCAAGAGCATGTTAGTTATACCTCCGATCATGCGACCACCCAATTAGGACCTACCTTTCGAACTCATGTGCAACGCGAGTGATTACGCGGTCGGTGCAGTACTTGGTCAACGGGAGGGAAATAGACCGTGTGTGATACACTATGCTAGCAAAACACTTAATGAGGCCCAAATGAATTACACTACCACCGAGAAAGAATTGCTAGTTGTAGTGTTTGCTTTAGATAAATTTTGTTCATACATTATTGGTTCGCCTATTGTTGTCTTTACTGACCATTCTGCCTTGAAGTACTTGTTGTCTAAGCAGGATGCAAAACCAAGACTCATTAGGTGGATACTCCTCTTACAAGAATTTGACTTGACGATCAAGGACAAGAAAGGAGTTGAGAACGTGGTGGCGAATCACTTATCCCGGCTGGTGGTGCAAGAGGCTGATGAGCACTTCCCTATCCCTGACTTTTTCCTTGACGAACACTTGCTTTCAATTCATTCTATGTGTCATTGGTATGCTGATATATGTAATTACCTTGCAACAGGACAGATTCCACCGCAATGGAGCCCAGAAGATCGAAGATGATTTATGACGGATGTGAAGTACTTCTACTTCGACAACCCGTATTTGTTCAAGTACTGTCCCGATCAAATCATGAGGAGATACGTACCTGCAAATGAACAGTGGGACGTCCTTGCATTTTTCCATTCACAAGCTTGCGATGGACATTTTTTAGCTAAAAAGACTTTGGCTAAAATTCTCCAATCAAGTTTCTACTGGCCCTATCTCATTAAAGACTGTGTTTCATTTTGTAAGGTATGCGACAGATGTCAACGATTGGGTAGTGTGACCCAGAGACACATGATGCCCCTCTCCCCTGTGCTTGTCATAGAAATATTCGACTGTTAGGGCATCGATTTCATGGGTCCGTTCCCTATGTCATATGGTTATCTGTACATCCCTCTGAAAGTGGACTATGTGTCCAAATGGGTGGAGGTCATCCTGACCAAGACTAATGACCACCGGGTCGTAGTCAAATTCCTTAAGGAAAACATCTTTTCGAGGTTTGGGATGACTCGTGCAATCATAAGTGATGGTGGATCACACTTTTGTAATAGGTCATTGACTTCATTAATGTGCAAATATAGTGTCACTCATAAAGTATCCATCGCCTATCACCCACAAACAAATGGCCAAGCCGAGCTAGCCAACAAGGAGATAAAGGGTATTCTAGAAAAAACGGTTAACCCCAATAGGAAGGATTGGTCCCGATAGATTGACCGATGCCCTATTGGCGTACCGTACTGCCTATAAGTCTATTTTGGGCATGTCTCCCTACTGGCTTGTCTATGGAAAGGCTTGCCACCTGCCAATCGAAATGGAACATAACGCCTATTGGGCCATTAAAACTTTAAATTTCAACTTGAGAATGGCCGGTGAACATAGGAAGTTGAAAATAAATGAGTTAGAAGAGATTCGACGAGATGCGTATGAGAGCTCCAAAATCTCAAAGGAACGGGCTAAGATCTTTCATGATAATTCCATTGTACAAAAATCATTTTGGCCCGGTCAAAAAAGTGCTCTTATACAATTCTCGCCTCTCAATTTTTCAAGGAAAGCTCCGATCCCGTTGGGATGGCCCCTATCTTGTGGAGGTGGCCTACCCCAATGGAGCTATGGATGTGAAAAACCCTAAAGATGGCCAAACATTCAAGGTCAATGGCCAAAGACTCAAGCCATTCTTTGAGGGTTTTGTAGGGGAAGAAGTGGCGGAAGATTTGACGGATCCCGTATATCCGAATTTGATGCAGAACTAGCTAGTGTTTATGATTCTTAGTGTATAGTTACTTTTCTTTACTTATGTTATTTCTATTTCATGTCACTTACTGTCGTTGGTTGTATAGCATTGTTTCTTAATTTCAGATCTTGGTGCTTTTGTTGAAGCTCAATAGCGAGGTGTTCTCTAACCCTTTTCATTTTTTTACTGTCCTTCATTGCATATTATATCTTTTTGTTGCATTGAGGACAATGCATGATTCAAGTTGGGGGTAAGGCGCACCATTTGTATGATACACCAGGGTTTTTAGGAAATTTTTCTAAAATTTTTGTGATACAGATTTTTGCTTGCATTAGTGAAAAATATGTGAAATTTTTGAATTTTTTGATAAAAAAATATCTGATTATTGATCTGTATTCCTTCATGAAGAATGTGTGAGTTGGATGACATGTTGATCTTTCTTGTGAACTTTGTGCACATGAGCATTCTATGGAAGTTGACCCTATGCATGAGTATCACATATGTATTGATTTTTGAACTCAACTGTATGTGACTATTGAATGTGTAATTTCAGAAATTTATGGATTGGATTCATGTTTTAAGCTTGACATAAGTAGTGGAGATGAAAAAGGACCTATGGAAGCTTTAGTGCCAAATCCTTTTTGGAGGGAACTTACAATTACTCAAAGAACAATTTTTCAATGTCAAATTTGTTCAATAGTCTCATTATGCTTGTTTTGGTTAGGTGCATTTGGGATAGTAGGTGACTTGTCGTAATTGTGTAATGCTATTCCATGCAGACCTAGAAGTGATCTTAGGTCATCCTTGAATATTTTGAGCCTTTGCCCTTTTTCTTGAGAAATTATTTATCCCTAGTGCCATGTTCAAGCCGTGTTGAAAATTCGTTTCTATGCCACACATTAAACCAAGCCAGTGAAAAATGAAAAATATCTACCTTACCATGGTTGTTCCTAAAGCAAAAATGAGTGATTGCAAAAGAAGGAAGTGTGGTGTGGAAATTCAAGCAAGGGATGATGAATGTGAAACTCAAAGAGTTGAAAAAAAAAGAATGAAAATTCAAGAAAAGGAAGAAAAGGGGTGAGAAGATGAAAGAATGATCGAAAGAAAAAGAAAATGTTAAGGAAAAGAAAGAAAAGAAACAAAGGGTGTAGTGATGGTGTGGGAATCAATCCCATGAAAAGGGAAGTGTTCTTCTAAAATAAAATCTCTCACTCGGAACAACCCTCTTTGCTATCCTATATCCTTCATTTCATTTACCGAAATATCACCCCAGGGCCCCATTATAACCCTTAAAGTCCAAAGTGATCTAGAGAAGCATGGGAGGTGCATGTTCTCAGAGGAAACGATGAGTTAAGTCTTACTACCTAATGCCCTAGCATTCTGTTCATGAGACTATGCCAAGGTCGCTTCATTTTCATTTATGAATTTTATTTTTGGATTACATGTGAGCACTTTGTTTTAGACACAAGATTCTATCTCAAACGTACACATGGAGTGCATACCAGGATAACTTGAGTGCATTTCATTGCTTTGGAGTGACCCTTGGTGAGTTTTGCATTGAAACTGAATTTGTCTAGCTATTCGAATGTGAATTCTGTTGTGTAAATGCTCAAATTACTTGTTTAATTTACACACACACAAGTTGAAAATAAATTTGTAGGTGCATACTTTAGACTAGTGTCTAAGACTATGGTACTGCTCATGTACACTTAGTTCAATCAATTGAGAAATTTGTTAAAAAGCTCCATGCTTGTAAGAATGAGGGAATATTGCTCAAGTGTTTGATATCTAAGATGAATTAGGAATGCCCATGTTTCTAATCATGCGATTTGCACTTTCAGTATTCATTTTGGTAGTTTAAAGTAGAAATCCATGCCCTTTACGTTGAAAACATCAAAATCTTAAATCATGTTACAATTTCGGAAATGACTTCGAGTATGATTTGCCAATTATGGTTCATAAGTGTGCTTCAAGTCCTTGGTAGGATAAGCGTCTTAGAATGGGTGTAAGATGTGTTGGAAATGAGTTAGGATGGATTGGATGTGAAATTTTGAATAAAAGATTGGTTTTGCAGCAAAGGCAAAACCTTTCGGAAGATTGATCGACCTTCCGGAAGGTTTTACCTACTGTCTTTTTTAAAAAAAGTAGTAAGCAACACCTTCCGGAAGGTTTTGATCCACCTTCCAGAAGGTTTTGCCCAGAAAATTAAAAACAAGGGTTTTAAAATCAAAAAGTTTGGAAAAACCTTTCACATTTCCAATCCATCTCTTGCCCTCAAACCCTCGCATCCCCTTCTTCTCTCTGCTAACCTTCATATTGCTTCCCCAAATCTCAAAATCCTTACTCTCTCTCGATTTAGGGTCACTTTTAGGGTGTTTTATCCGAAAGAAATAAGCAAACCCTAGGTTTCCATTTCCCCTAAAATTCTGAGTTTCTCTTTAATTTTCCCCAATCTCCTCAACTTCTTGGTGATGGCTTGTACAAGAGTGATGTCCATGGAGGTAGTTGATGCCATTGAGAGCTTGTGGAGGTTGTTTTTGGTGGCTCTTGGGTTAGGGGCACTGTTGATGCTCATGGCCCGGACCAAGAGCACTGACCCCGGTGCTTCTCCGTCCCCCTCTGGCTCCACATCCAAGAAGAGGGTCGATGAGGATCCTAGCTCCCAAGATAAGGCGGAGCGGAGGACGAAGGCAAGACACGATGCCCGCAAGCAATGTATCGAGGAAAAGGGCGTGATGTGTGAACGCTATGTGGATAGAGTTTTGTTGGGACCTAGTAACGAGGTGGTGAAAATTATTGAACAATGGGGGTTGAATTTGTGGTTTTAGGAGGTCAAGGGGTACAATTTAGGGATGTGTCATGAATTTTACCAGAAGTTGGTTGTTTTTGGTGACAATGGGAGTAAGCTAAAGACGATTGTGAGGGGCAAAGCAATTGAGGTGACCCCGGACTCAATAGCCATGGCGATAGGGTATGTGAGACCTCCCCCAACCACTGAGGTCTACCCACACAATGTGGAAAAGGGTATGACTCTCAAGGACTACGTGGCCCTCACCTATGAGGACCCGACCACGTTCACGGGAACAACGTTAGTCGGGGGCCTCAAGCATGCATACGGGGTCATGAATAAAGTCCTCCATTATAATATGATGCCTCGGGGTTCGGAGAAAAACCCGAACATTGAGAAGCTCGCATTACTGCATGCCTTTATGACAGGAGTTGCCATTGACGGGGCATATTACATTTGGTTGGAGATGAGAAAGTTTGCCTAGGCTGCAAAGCCAAAGGCAAATCTCCCTTTTGACAACTGAGTCACCCGTCTCTGTGATCAAGCTAAGGTAAAACACTATGCCCAAGATGTTCTTCTCCCCCCAGACACTGGAGCAATTGGGAAGTCCAGTAGTAGCAAGAGAGCTGCTAGGACTGGGGGAGAGAGAGATAGGACCCCGAGGCCACAGCCGTCAGACGCTGGCGCATCTTCTTCAGCACCCCCACCACCTGCACCTACTTCGGCTTGCACCCTGTCGCAGCGCATGGATGCTATAGAGTCAACTGTGTACGGGATGTCTGAGATGTTGATACAACTGTTCCAGCATACCTTCCCAGGAAGGCCTATTCCCAGAGGACCACCACCACAGCCTTCAGCTGGTCCCTTTGCCTCCGTTCCCGTGCCTTCTACGATTGTGGAGGTGGGAGATGTGGATGACGACGAGGAAGAGTTAGGGTCAGAGTCCGAGTCCAAAACTGAGAACGAGGATGTTTTTGACAGGGATGATGATGATTAGGGGGAATTTTGGTTTTTTATTTTTGAGTTTTTAGTTGTACACAGCTACGGTTTCCCGTATCGGCCAGTAGAAATGTCATTAGGTTGGCCATTTTTTTTGGGACTTAAACACATTGTAAAGAAATTTTTGAAGTGATCAATGGAAACACCACAGTTGTTACATTTACATCCGGGCCCAAGCTATTTCCTTAATTGCAATATGATTTGTGCATCTTGAGTTGTTGCAAATTTTACTTGTATGAATGGATGAGTTTAGTTTTAAATTTTATAGCTATGCTTGGAAATGATGCTTGCTAGGGACTAGCAAAACTCAAGTTGGGGAGTGTGATTAGCACAAAAATATGACATATATTGTGTGCTAATATGCCTTTTGTACTTGTTTATAGTCATGAATTTTGAGAGAAATGTGCTTAGCTTTTGTTTTGATGGAATTTTGTGTGAATGCAGGGAAAACAATGTAAATGGTATGAGTTATACCCCCATTGAAGTGGTTAAAGTCAATGAAGAAGGGGAGGTAGCTTAAAGGAAGGTTTGGAGGGAGAAGAAACCAAGAAAATGGAATTAGGTTGAAGACCTTCCGGAAGGTTTGGGTAAAAACCTTCCAGAAGGTGTTGCCTTAGATTTCTATTTCACTGCCAAAACCTTCAGGAAGGTTTTTTCCATTGGAATGAACCTTCCGGGAGGTTTTGCCTACTGAAGTGAAACCTTCCGGAAGATTTTGTTTACTGGAATGAACCTTCCAGAAGGTTTTCCTTGGATTTCTTTCTTTTTACTGCCAAAACCTTTCGGAAGGTTTTGTCTACCAAAATGAACCTTCCAAAAGGTTTTGCCTACTGGAGTGAAACCTTCCGAAGGTTTTGTCTACTGGAATGAACCTTCCGGAAGGTTTTGCCTGCTAACTGATTAACCCTAATTAAGGCATAATTTAATAGGTAAATTGTGTTAGTTGAATAAAGTTAAACTAGTCAAAATAAATCAAATTAGAATTAGTGTTTGAATAAATGATAATACATTAATTGTTGTTCTATTTAGGATTTTGTTCGTCAAAGCTACAAATTACTGGGGAGCCAATTGCATTACAGCTACAAACTACTGGGGTGCCAATTATCAAAGCTCAAAAACAAAAGGGGATCAAAGAATTCAAGGCCACCTAACAAGATTTTCAAGTCCACCTAACAAGATTCAAAGCCACCTAACAAGACTTTTTAAGTCCACCTAACAAGATTTTCACCCTCCCTTGTTGCCTATAAATACCACCCCTTAGGACTTGTAAAGCATTCATTTTTTGGTAGTGAAAAACCCTCCAAAAGTATTATTGTTTTCCTTATTACTTATTGCTTTATTTACGTATTGTTTTCGTTTATTATATTATTGCTTTCTTTTAATTTATTGCTTTCTTTTACTTTAAGTATTGCTTTCTTTTATTATGTTATTGCTTTCTTTTATTTCCATTGCTTGAGCTTCCTTCTTCCCTTAGAGGAGTGAAACTCTTCCACTTTTCTAGAGCTTTACCAAAGCCGTGAAGGGTGGAACGTGATTCACTCATTCTTTATCGAAAATCGGCTCCTTGTGTAAAGTGTTTTACCTTGTAACTCCTCTACTTGGAGGGATAAGCATCACTCACTTTTTTAGCTTTAACAAAGCCATGAAAAGTGAGTAATTTCTCATCCAATTTTTAGTAAGAGGTGATTATCCAGAAGTTATATTTATGCATTTCGTTTATGCTTAGCTCTAGTCTTTATTTCTTCATAATGTCTTCTTATCATATTGTTGTCTTTATTTTAAGCATAAATAGCTAAATCTCTTAGTTGGAAAAACCAAGAGGAACCTCCACTTGGGTATACCATTTCAACTCATTCTCCTCCCCTCTTTCAGAGTTCATTGGTTCAGTTTGGCTGGGTTGAGAGTGGATAACTTGGTGAGCCTTTGATATTCCGTAGGCCTAGTTACGGTTTATGCTTAGATACTCACCAATCTTACCCCTAGCTTCCCACGAATCAATCGTTCATTCATGCTCTATTGGAGGAGGGTTTCGAGTTGAGACGGTATTCCTATTGGAGTGACCTCTTGGATTTGCCAACATTTGTTTCTCATTTTACTTGCATCAAAACAACTTCACCAAACAACTTCCAACAATCAAAGATTTTACACTTTCTTTCTCCCAAAATCACCTTCCCCTCGGTTTACTTCCTTCCCTGTAGAAACGACCTTGGAATACCACCAAGTAAAATACGATCCGTGAAAGTCTCCTTGCGCTTGGGGAGCACTTTTGTTCACACATACTCACATTTGAAATCTCATTCATCTACCATTCCGTTGCCCTTTCTTTTGACATCATCCCTAGGAGAGTGACACTCCCCTTCATTCATATACTATACATGCTAAAAAGTGATGTTTATAGGTTAGGAAACAACAAGGAATTTTCTCAAGCATTTTTGGTGCCGTTGCCGGGGAAGCCAAGTGTCAAACCAAGAAGGTGATTTTTGGACGACAGAGGTAAGTCCCATGATCTTCATCATGGGCTGTGGTACATTGTTCCGTGTACATAATCTTGTTTGTATATATTTTGTTTTATGTGGAAGCGAAACGACCGAAATCAACTTGTTAGACAAAACTTAGCCCCTACCATGAATATTGACCAAGAACAACCCGAGGATGCGGGTGACAATTTTGACAATATAGGTGCAAATCCAAATGTCCAAAGGGGTGGGGGACCACAAGAACCCCAAATACCCAATCCGAGAATGAATTTTTTCCCTCCCGTGAATGAAGGGAATAATTTTCAAATGGATCCCCCAGTGAGGTCAATGAGGGATTTCCTACAACCAACACGAAGCACCACACCATCATGCATCCTCCTTCCGATCTAAGCTTATCTTTTCAAAGTTAAGTCAGAGATGTTGCAACTAATTCCCACGTTCAATGGACTTGAAACTCAGAGCCCCTATTCACACATAAGGGATTTTGAGGAAATAGTTGTAACCTTCCTTCCCTAAAAGACAAGGCAAAAAATGTGGCTAGAATGAAATTGTTTCCCTTTTCCTGGCTAGAATGAAATTGACTAAAAGACAAGGCAAAAATGTGGCTTATTTCCTTAAGGCCTCGAACCATCACATCATGGAGCCAAACGATTGCTGAGTTTTTGAACAAATTCTTTCCGGTGCATAAAACCACTGGCCTAAAAAAGTAAATTCAAAACTTTTCAGAAAAGTCCAATGAGCAATTCTATCAATGTTGGAAGAGGTACAAGGAATTGCTACAATCCCTTCCACATCATGGCTTTGAACCATGGCAATTGGTGAGTTTCTTTTATGAAGGAATCACACCGGGCCATCGACAGTTCATTGACATGATGTGTAATGAGGAGTTTATGAACAAAGACCCTGATGAAGCCTTAGATTACTTTGATACATTGGCACAAAATGTACAATCATGGGACATTACAGATCCCACTGATGTACCAAGGTCTTCTCCTCAAAAGAGTGACCAAACTCAAGGGGGAGGGATTTATGATTTGAGAGACCGGGAAGACTTGTTTTCAAAAATTGCTAAATTGTCAAGGAAAGTTGAGAGTCTTGAAGTCAATAAGAGACACGAGGTGTCTAATGTGTCACGAACCAAGGAGGGTTGTTCAATTTGTGAATGTATGGAACATTCCCTATCGGATTGCCCAAACATTCCGACCCTTAAAGAAGCATACCATGAACAAGTCCATGTCTTCAACCAAATGAGGCAATCATTTTCTCCCAATTCGAATACTTACAATCCGGGTTGGAGTAATCATCCAAATTTTAGTTGGAGAAATAAAAACCACATTCCTCATGGTTCAAGTGCATATGCATCTTCCATGCCTCCCAAGCAAAACCAATACCATGGCCAAGGGCAAGCATCTAGCTCTCAATATCCCCGGACCAATCCACAAGGGTATTCGTCAAACCCACCACCATAGAATTTTTCACCAAATCCACCTCCACAAAGTTTTTCTCAAGGATCATCCAATCC